GGGGGGGGGGGGGGGCGGGCAGGCAGCATGGTTGTTAAGGGCGTTGGACTCCCACATGGCCAATTGTGGTTCGAGTCCCGAACTTGGAAGCTTGATTTCTCACTTACTCTCTGTCTCACACACACACACACAGAGTATGTGTGTCTCTCTCTCTGAAAATATTAAAATAATAATAATAATAAAGTTAAATAAAATAATTCTTTTTTTTCTTTCTTTCTTGTTTTGGAGAGGTTTTTGCTATAAGGCACATGCGCTCGCCAGACAGACAGACAGAAAGCGAGAAATCACCCCCCGGGGGGATGGCCACGCCCCAGCAATCCCTTCTCCTCCATTCTCCTCTCGGGATCTTGGGCACGCACGCACATGCGCCCGGCGTGAGTTTTAAGCCACCGGGTCCAGGACGCGAACCGCAGTTGACTACGTGGGAGTCCAGCGACATAGCCGTTACGCTAACTGCTGGTTCCCAATAAAATAATTTTTTTTAAAAAAATGAGTTGGGGAACCAGCAGGTGGTGTGGTGGTTAAGGTGCTGGATGCTTCCACATGGCAAACCACGATTTGAGTCCCAGAACTGGTGTCTTGCTTTCTCACTTTCCCTTTCTTTCTTTCCTTTGTCTCTCTCTGGTCAAATTAAAATAAATAAATGACTAAATAAAATTAAATAAATAATTCTTTAAAAAAAAAAAAGTGAGTTGGGGACTAGCAGGTGGCATAGTGGTTAAAGGCACTGGACTCCCACAAGGCCAATCATAGTTCAAGTCCTCGACCTGATGGCTTCCTTCTCACTTTCCCTCTCTCTCCCTCTCTCTCTGATCAACACCAGAAAATAATAATAAATAAAGTTAAAGTAAAATAATTCTTTTTTTAAAAAAAGCGGGCTTTGCTAACTTCTAACTAGGTGACCTCTCCCCTGCAGTTTCTTCTCCTGGAAAACAGGCATTATCATAGTACCTATACTTCATAGGGTTGTAGAATTTATGTGAATTAATCCATGAAAAATGCCTAACACAATGTAAGTGATCAATAAGTGTCAGCTTCTCTTGTACATATAGGTTCAGCCCCAGAAGAATACTCAAACTGGTAAGATAAGAAGGCTGTGAAATAAAATAAGAGATAAATTCTGTTCTCCAACTCGATGAGATAAATTTATGTTTTCTGGATGGGGAAAAAAAAGTCACTTTGGCTCTTTTTATGTATTTCTTTAGGCTTAATAAAGTAAAAAGGGTGTAACTAGGGACCAGCAGGTGGCATGGTGGTTAAGCACTAAAATCCCATATGGCTAACTGTAGTCTAATTCCTGGACCTGGAGGCTTCAAAATCACATCAGACGCTTATGCATGCATGCCCAATATTCTGAGAGGAGAGTGAAGGAGAAGGGATTGCGGCATGGTAATTCCCCCTTGGAGGGCGATCTCTCACTTTCCCTCTCTCTGTCTCTGTCTGTCTCTCTCTAGTGAGCACATGCACTCTATGACAAAAAAAAAAAAAAAAGAAAAGAAAAAAGCAGTGGAAATAAAAACAAAGAATTTAAAGAAGCTGCCATCTACTCCATCTTCTCTATAGCTACTTTCTTTTTTTTTTTTTTTTTGGAGAGGTTTTTGCTATAGGGCGCGTGTGCTCGCCAGAAAGACAGAGAGAGACAGAGAGACAGAAAGCGAGAAATCACCCTCCAGGGGGGATGGCCACGCCACAATCCCTTCTCCTCTATTCTCCTCTCGGGATCTTGGGCACGCATGCACACGTGCCCAATGTGAGTCTCAAGCCACCGGGTCCGGGACGCGAACTGCGGCTACGTGGGAGTACAACGACATAGCCATTACGCTAACTGCTGGTCCCTCTATAGTTATTTTCTAAATCATACCAACTTTTCTCTCACAGTTTCAGGCTGCAGCCCACAGGTCCTGAAAATTTCAAAATGCCATTATTTGATTCGCATAGTACATGATCAGGATTCTTTGCAGTAAGTAACAGAAGCCAATTATTCATGTGCATGTATGTATGTTTTTACATTTTTTAAATTTATTTCTTTCATGAGAGAGAGGTAGCTTCAAGAGGGTTTCACTACATTGTAGTGATCCTTCCTACTCCTCACCCACCAGCCTTCCAGGAACATGGGTATACCTGGCCTGTTCTGTCAACCTGGAATACCAACCCCAGACCTTCCCATTTTGGTCCAGTATCAGGCAACAGTGCCCCACCACCTGTACCACTAGGGCTGGGCCTCATTATTGGTGCTTTAATTGGAAAAGGAACATATGGGTACCTCAGAAAGTTGCTAGGATGACTGGGCATCAAGCTTGAAAAATGGAAATTTTGGCAGCCAGAGCCAGTATGGTGAGGAGACAATTGCCTTGGCCCCAAATCCTTTTGCTGGCATCAGACCTAGTTGGTCACTACTGCATGCTATCTTAAGCATCCTCAGCTAATTAATTGCTCTGCCCACATTAGACAAATGGCATGTTAGCTTCCTAGTCACTGCTTGATTCAGATATACCGAAGGTTTAGAAAACCACCAAACCCAAAAGAATATTTTTAAAAGATGAAAAAAAAAGCATTGAAAAGTCTTAATCGTCTAGAAAATAATAACAATATTCCCTACTGTTATGGTTTAGAAAATAGTTCACATTTTAAAATGTGGTCTTGGTAGACAGTGGCTGAATGTCTCCCAAGATTGGGGAGGTAAATCTCCCCTGGGGATTATGGGGAGGTAAATCCCCCCTGGCCACACCATAATCCCTTCTCCTCCATTCTCCTCTCAGGATTTTGGGCATACACACACATGCACCCAGTGTGTTTCTCAGGCCACTGGGTCTGGGATTTGACCCATGATTAGCCACGTGGGTGTCCAGTGCCTTAACTACCATGCAACCTGCTGCCAACCCCACCTGACACCCCACAAATTTTTTTTAATGTAGATTAAAGATATAAGTAAGGGGCCAGCAGGTGGTGTGGTGGTTAAAGGTACTGAATCCCCATATGGCTGACTGCGGTTTGAGTCCTGGACCTGGCAGCTTGCTTTCTCACTTTGCCTTTCTGTCCTTCTCTGGTCAAATTGAAATAAACAAATGACTAAATAAATTAATAAAGTTAAATGAAAAAACATTTTTTTTGGAGAGGTTTTTGCTATAGGGCGCGTGCGCTCGCCAGAAAGACAGAGAGAGACTGAGAGACAGAAAGCAAGAAATCACCCCCCATGAGGGATGGCCACACCACAATCCCTTCTCCTCCATTCTCCTCTCAGGATCCTGGGCACACACGCACACGCTCCCGGTGTGAGTCTCAAGCCACCGGGTCTGGGACGCGAACCGCAGTCGACTACGTGGGAGTACAGCGACATAGCCATTACGCTAACTCCTGGTCCCATGAAAAAACATTTTTAAAAAATATATAAGTAAACATTTTTCCTTACCACTACTGCTGTTAACACCTTTCCAAGTCTGTTCTTCATCTATAATACAGAGAAACCAGATTAGATGACAGAAGACATACCTATCTTCTTAAATTCTGTGATTCTATATAGAACTAAATAATATCAGTAACTTACATGTCAAGTCCTTGTTCACTTATAATAGTTAGAAAAGTAGGATATATTCATAATATATTCCTTCAAATTCCAACTGAACTTGGTTTCACTGGGTCTTGTTAGTCAAGAGGTGTTAAGTTGTAAAGAACCAGGATTATTCCTTTGGGGTTAAGATGAATTATTCTTTTCTTCTTTAAATATAAATTATAAATGGATTTGCAGTATATGAAATATCCAAATGAAAACTGGGGGGGAGGGGGGAAGAGCATCCAACCATAAGGATGCCAGCTTTCATAGAGACAAAACAGCTGCACTTTATATTAAATATTTCCATTTCTGTCCATGTTAGGCATGCCACAGACATAACTTATGAATATAAAGGGTTTCTTTCTTCTCCCTTAAATAATTTCTTCAATTAGTGTCAAATATGAAAAAAGCCTTTTATGAGTCCTCTCTTTGACTTTATTGTTAAATTTGACCTCTCTCTTTAGGTTTGTTTTCATTCAAGTATTTGCCATTTGCTTATTTTCCCAAGAATGTGTAGCCATTGTTTATATATACAGCTGACCCTTGAACAACACGGGTTTGAACTATGTAGGTCCACTTACATATGGCTTTTTTCAATAAATATTTTGGAAACTACAGAACACACTGTAAATGTATTTTCCATTCCTTATGATTGTCTTAATAACATGTTATTTTCTGTAGCTTACTTTATTGTAAAAATATAGCATATAATACACATAATATACAAAATATGGTTAACTGATTATTTATATTACCAGTAAGAATTCTGGTCAACAGTAGACTATTAGTAATTAAGTTCTGGGCACTCAAAAAAATTTTCTACCATGTGAGGCATCAGCACCCCTAACCCCCATGCTGTCTGAGGGTCAATTATATCTCTAACATTAAACAGTTTCTCCAGATCTCTAATATTTTACCAGTGACCAACTACCCGCTATAGCAGGTAGTATTATAATAGCCTGTCAAGACCAGCAGTTGGCGTAATGGCTATGTTGCTGGACTCCCATGTAGTCAACAGCAGTTTGAGTCCCAGACCTGGTGTCTTAAACTCACACCGGGTGTGTGTGCATGTGTGCTCAAAATCCCAGGAGGAGAATGGAGGAGAAGGGACTGTGGCGTGGCCACCTGCCTGGGAAGTGATTTCTCACTTTCTGTCTCTCTGTCTCTGTGTTTTTGGAAAGCGCACGTGCCCTATAGCAAACACCCCTCAAAAAAAAAAAAAAAACAATAATAACAAATAAATAATAATAGCCTGTCAATTCTTTGTAAAGGACTTATGCCAAATCCTGTGGTTGACCTCTTGGAGAAACACTTTGACAAAGTGGATAAGAGTTTGGGCTTTGCAGATCAGTCGGACCTGCCATGTGACTTAGTAATGAAGGGAGCTAGAAACCACACAGTTGACTATGGTTCAAATCCCAGCCCTGCTGGCTTAAAAAACACGCTGGACACCTGAGCATGCATGCTCAAAAATCCCAGAAGTATGGAGAAATGAAGCAGCAGTGATTGCAGCATGACCACATCCCCTTGGCAGGTGCTTGCTCCTCCCACCTCCTGTCTCCCTCTCTTTCTAAAGAGCCTGCATACCTGCTAGCAACCAAAAAAAAGACATTAGTCTCTGGAATCAGTGGACAACTTATCTACCATTTTGGGACCAACAGATGGCATAATTGTTACATCGCTGGACTCCCACATTGGGGATCAGGGTTCAATTCCTGGATCAGGCAGTTTGAAAGTCATGACAGGCATGTGTGTGTTTGTGCACCCAAAATGCCAAGAGAATGAAGGAGAAAAGATGCAGCATGAGGATGATTTCTCGCTGTCTCAATGTTTCTATTTCTGTCTCTCGAGCAAACACACACACCCTATAGCAACAACAACAACAAAACCTCTTAAAAAAAGTTACTGCCATCTTCAAATCCTCCTTTTCCTTATCTGTAAGACAAAAATAATAAGTATACATCCTTCTTGGGACTTAATAAGGGTTCCCCCTATATGTAAACTATTGTTATATGCTTGACTCAATCTAATCCTGAATCAGATTTTCAGGATAGTGAAAGACCACATAAATGTTAGAAGATTACTTATTAGTCAATGAGAAGAGGGGCCAATAGATAATACAGTGATTAAGATGCTAGACTCCACGAGGCCCACTGCGGTTCAAGTCCCAGATCCAGTGGCTTGAAACTCATGACAGATGCATTTGCATGTGTGCCCAAAATCCTGAAAGAAGAATGGAGGAGAAGGGATTGTACTATGAGGAGAACAGACAATGATTGTGGAGTGGCCACCCCCCAGAGGGTGATTTCTCACTTTCTGTCTCTCTGACTCTCTTTCTCTCCAGAGAGTGCACGTGCCCTATAGCAAAAATCTCTTTAAAAAAAAAAAAAAAAGTCAATGAGAAAAGTCACCTTCTTTTATAATTTAAGAATCTAAAAGTGGGGCCAGTGGGTAGCATGGTAGTTAAGGGAGCTGGACTCCCACATGGCTGACCACGGTTCCAGTCCCAGACCTGGCAGCTTGCTTTTTCACTTTCTCTCTCTCTCTCTCAGTCTCTCTCACTCTGTTCCTCTCTAGTCAAACTTTAAAAATAAATAAAGATAAATAAAAAATTCTTAAAAAAAAGTCTAAGAGCAAATAAAGTTTAAGTTTTCTACTTAAGCTCACACTATAAATAAGACAAGCCAAGCCATGGTTGTCATAAATTCCAGTCTAGAGCACACTACAAGAGTTTGTCTCTTTCTGTAACTGGAAGACCAAGGACCTTGTCCTCCAGATGCTTAAGATGTATTTGGAAGTGAAGACTAACAAACAAACCAGAGAGCCTAACTCACAATTGAGGCAGTTGTATTAATATAACAAAGTTTCCTGTGAAAAAGGTGGAGTCATCGGGACAAGCAGTGAGCATAATGGCTATGTTGCTGGACTCCCACGTAGTCGACAGCGGTTTGAGTCCCGGACCCGGTGGCTTAAACTCACACCGGGCGTGTGTCCGTGCGCGCCCAAGATCCTGAGAGGAGAATGGAGGAGAAGAGATTGCGGCGTGGCCATCCCTCCTGGGGGGGAATTTCTCGCTTTCTATCTCTCTGTCTGTCTGGCAAGTGCACGCACCCTATAGCAAAAACCTCTCCAAAAAAAATAAAAAGGTGGAGTCATTAGCAGAGGCTCATCAGAAAGACTGAGTAGTACAGGAAACTTTTTAGAAAGAAGACTTGAGGAAAGGCTTTCAGGAGTTTGATTCAACACCTGAATAAGAAGACATCTGAGAAACTAGGCAAGGATGCTCTCCTGAACATCCAACATTTGGAAACTTCCACTTATCACATATATAGTTCCCATACCTACTGGGTTGTTTGTGTTTGTTTCTTAACTTGCCCGAAGGCACCTGCACTTGCCAGAGAGAGAGAGGAAAAAAGCACCCCTTCTCACAGAGCATGATCCTGGTCTTGCCAAAATCCTTCCTCTTCCATTCTCTTTCCTTTCAGGATTTTGGGCACATGCACACACACCTGGCATGCAGAGTCGTCACTGGAACTATGTGGTTGGCCATGTAGAATCCAGCACCCTTAACCAACAACCATCAGGTCACAGGCTGGCCCCCATGCCTACAATTTAAAACAAGGAAGCTAAACTATTGTAGAAAAGGGAACGATATGTTTCTTCTTGTACATTCTGAAGTTATCTGAGGGAGATGGCAAGCTGAGAACTAAATCTCTCTCCCTTTCCAAATGTTTTTTTTT